AACTCCTTTAAATCAGATTTAAAGAAGGATAATCCAATAATAGAAACATCATGATGAAAACTTTCATTAAAAACTAATTAAGTAATCATTCTCATTACGATTTTACTTCCAACAACACGGTTCTGTGGAACAATGTAGCTATAAAACCTGACATGGTCCAATAATTATAATAAAATATTAATAATAATAATAATTGAAGTAAAATGATTTGGTTGTTTTAAAGAACCTAGCTCTAACACAAATGTAGGAAATGTAAGGGCCTGAAACTACAGTCTATTGATAAATACTCTTTCACAAGAAATCATATCAAAGTGTTCAGTAAAGTGCTGCAGAATAAAGTCAATTGTGAAACGATATATATCATTTCATTGACCTTCATAACAGTATTCAAACTGTTCATAACGCATACATCCTTTGTTTATACAATTACACAATAGTCTTTTTCAAGTTGAGTCGGCTGAAGGACAATATTCCAATTTTAGTAAATATCCGTCCCGTTATTATCCTTGCTGGGATGTTGACGTGCACTACTACCAGTAAGATTGCATGCGGAATCAATGGCATAAGCGTTTTTGTCGATACGGCAACCATTGTTAAATATTCCTCACAATAATAGAATAACACAAAGTAAATCGATACAAAAATGTGCACAATAAGTGTTAATGCGAAGTGTAGCTAACTCTTCAACAGTGATTCCATCTAGAAAAATGTACATATATGTGTTCTGACTGATATAATGACCTGAACACAATGCTACCATATTTGTAATTCTAGCAGTCAGGGTTTATTTCAAAACGCTTTGCTAATGGTATTTCCCTGTCATGTAGGAATCCACGTAGCAAAAAATCTTGCATATCGGCTTACTGTCCTAAAACTTTTATGATATCCACTGTCTGATTTGTTTTTAGTATATTATATGCATTCATCTTTTTAAATTATATGACCATGTGTGTCCGCTCTCTGGCAGCAACTCTCCCAGCAAAGCCTGCTATCTTTGAATCCCCTTCACCGTTTATTACCCTCATGTCATCAAACCAATTTTATCCCCATCTTCATTTTCAATCCCTCTTGGACTGTTCTCCCCCCCCCCCCAACATCCCACTCTACATTTCACCAATGTCTTCTTTGATTCTTTTCTGCCTACTCTCTCTCTCTCTTTCCCCAATCTCTCTCTTTCTCTCTCTCACCAACCTCCTATCTCTTTCTTTCTTTCTTTCTTTCTTTCTTCCTTTCTCTCTCCTAAACCTCCCCTCTCTCTCTCCTCTCTCTCTCTTTGTCTCTACGCAACTTCTCTCTCTCTCTCTCTCTCTCTCTCTCTCTCACACACACACACACACACACACACACACACACAGAAGTATTTTTACTTGATACACACACACAAATCTGCCAAATTGTACACGCAAATTGCTGAAGTTCCTTCTGACCCACGCAGGAGAGCACCTTGACCCACTGGGCCCTACCGCCACACCATTGCCGTCACAGCAAACACATTCCATTTGGATCACATCTAGCAGAACCGTGTCAGTGCACTCTCGAGCCGATCACACACACTGAACTAATATTTCCTCATCAAGTCATACACGTTCAGTTGCATTCACCATATTTTCAAACGGTGTAGCATTCGTGTACCAGTTACAAACTTCATACGACTTTAACATTACATCCGCATCATAGTATATCAAAAAAAACATGTAGAGACACCACAATAGTCATCCGAGTCATATATGACCTCGCCACAATTACTCCGTGTACACGGAGGGACAGTCTGGCACGCAAGACGTTGAAAACAATAGACTGAGAATAAGGAATAAGAACTCACCTTGATGCATATGGGGCAGTTACTTTAACAAAAGTTAGCGTTTGGATGTGAATTATTACAAAGGATTTCTCCTTAGATTTACTTCTAGACTTACCTCTCGTCAAAGTTTACTGGAGGAAACTAAGTACATTACCTTGTTCCAAGTAACAACCATTTATATTGCACTGAGAGCAAATGTAATAAATAAATAAATAAATAAATAAAATGCTATAGCCATCCGTACCATTTGTAATCAAATATGAAAACAGAATTAATAAAGAAATATAAAAAAGTTTACCTTACATTTTTATCACTTTTCTACGTACCTTCGCAGACGTGCACTGTATTACTCCAAACCTCATTTTGGCGGCACGTGACTACACGATAATGTCCGTAATTATCCGGGAACCAGTAGCCCGTAGCACACGTGATCAAGACCACGGCCCCAACCTGGTGTGCCGTAGTATTTATTGTGGAGTGACCGGTAGTTATAGGAGAACACTGGTCGGCTGAAGCAAGGAAACAAATGAAAGAAAAGTGTATCGGTGTATACTAGAAAATAATGGATTGGGTGAATAAATGATGGAAAGTCGATCGTTTGAAAAGTATCAAGTATTGCATACATTCGGTCATGCACGATATCACATTGAAACAATGGCGACTGTTTAAAATTGATACAACGCGAGGTATGAACTGCTATGGTATAAAAAATACTATCATTTACTCTGGAACATACAGGCACTAATTATATATAAACACACGGAACAATACGTTACCAGTTTTGTGGATGATAATTTTCCCAGTGCCTGCCCCTCCACACCAGAACCCCGAGTCCCCTCCAGAACAATGTGTGTCACACAGACTGTCTGTATTCTGGCCCTGGTACGGGTTATACACATTGTCGCATCTACACGAGTCTCCACCAACTAGACCTGTATTAACATTTTACAAATGTTATAAGCATGCAGTTTATACATGACCTGCATTATTTTTTTACAGAGATTAAGCAGTTTATACATGAACGTTTGGGAGAGAATTGCATTCGATCTTCTTAGAAGTGAGGGGATTTTGATTAATTACAGAGTATCGAGTTGCTTTTAATGGCATTTTTCAAAATTATAATTATGTTTGTAGGACACAGTCAAACGTGCACGTGTTGTATCCTAAATGCTTAGGACCCTCATCACCCCCCCAAAAAAACATAATTATCATTATTCGACCTTCGTCGTGTAATTATGAAAAGTTTTTTTATTATCATTCCTATGGTATCTATCTATCTACGCTAATTTTTTGTCTATGAAATGATGACATCTATCAACTGCTTTTATAAAGTGTACATTAGGCCCTATCATTTGATAAGGTTACGGTTTTAAAACTTACCAGCGTATTTAAAACTGTTGTCCAGACAGTGCAGGCGACATCTATCGACGTAATTGGTTGCCACTGCAGGCGTGTTAGTTACTGGTGTTATCAGGGCGTCCAGAGAATTGGTTCCAAAATTATTGAAACAGCCAACGTAAGTGTTGTCAGCTGGATTGAAAACACAAGAAGTCCATATGAAAAGACGTTTTCCTAACCACACTCGCGTACAGTATGCACACTCAGGAATGATACGCATATAAACAAAGAATTATCAATCCAAATTCACACAATTTGCAAACCGCGTTGGTGCCAGGGTACCAAATCATCGATGAACCACCTTCACCTCTTGCCATACTTAGAATGATCTTATAAGCTCGATCCATCTCCGAGGGGTATCTCCCCTAATTTCTTTCAGCTTAAATTGCTTAGATGTCTGGCACACCTACTGAAGCTGCTTAACGATAGTTAATTACCCCCTAACATCTTCAGTAGGCGTGCCAGACATCAGAGCTGCTTAAGCTGCTGAAACTAATTAAGCGAGAAACCCCTCGGAGTTTGATCGAGCTTGTCAGATCGACCTACGTATGGGCATGGCGTCTTTAAATCTATCTCTGTTGTATGAGCTCTCAATACATTTAATTACATTTAATTTACCTGTGCAATCCCGCTGTGAGCCAGACCACGTCCTGTCAGACCGACACGTGGCCGACTGCTGCATGATTCTTCCAGGGAGGATATAACCCTGTTTACACGTGTATAACACGGTGCTGTTGTACGTGGTGCCGCTTTCTACCTTGTAGCTGTTGGTAAACGAAGTGGAGCTTGGGCACTCAGCGGCTAGAAGCATGGACAAGATCGACATACAGTATATGTATAAGTACATGTAGTGTAGGCCTATATATAAGAAAATGTACCTGTAGTATATATATAAGTGTCAGCCGCTTTCAAAGATTACACAATAAGCACATTTTTCATAGGCTTATCTATTAGTGATGCTATGATATAATCTGATACTCCCTTTTTAATCTNATATAGCACAGTGCTGTTGTACGTGGTGCCGCTCTCTACCTTGTAGCTGTTGGTAAACGAAGTGGAGCTTGGGCACTCAGCGGCTAGAAGCATGGACATGATCGACATACAGTATATGTATAAGTACATGTAGTGTATATATAAGAAAATGTACCTGTAGTATATATATATATATACCCCCTGTATATATAAGTGTCAGCCGCTTTCAAAGATAACACAATAAGCACATTTTTCATAGGCTTATCTATTAGTGATGCTATGATATAATCTGATACTCCCTTTTTAATCTTTAAGTTGAAGAATTAAAATTAATTTCAAATTCATTGAAAGGTTTTGTAAGTTTGAATACACTGTGTAATTTCGATATTGTATTCACATCAATGCTTTCCAAATACGCCATATAAAACACAAGGGGTTTCGTTTTTCTACCATCCACGTGACTTACGGTCACAGTTCACCAGAGGGCCCCACTCTCCATTGGTCTGGCACGTGACTGTGCGAACAGTGCTGCCACCTAGATATTCGTAGCCGGTGTCACACGTGTACGTCGCCTCGCTGAGATAGGTGGTGGTGGTCCAGTTTACGGTGGAATGAGGCAGCTGAGGCACAGTGCTGTTGCAGTGAATGGCTGTGAAGTCAAGGTGGGTCAAATTAATGGGTTAATTTTTATGAAGATTCTGAGAAAGGTGCGCGTCTAAAATTACACGTGCACGTGCATGCGCAAAATGAATGATGTGCGTGTGAGCGTCGTGCGTGTGCATATTTGGGTGTGCCGGGGTAAAAACGCAGAAACATACAATACAGAATAGCAAAAAAAAAAAAAAAAAAAAAAGCTAAAAAACGTTGACATGAAACAAAATTATCAAAATGTGACTTCTGATTCACTTAGTTGTGATGTTCAAAGGCAAAAGAGAGAGTTCATTATTTTGCCTTTCAAACAAAATGAGATTTACAATGATAACCTGATCAACATAAGCTTAGATTTGACTACGTACGTGTACACGCAGAGGGCAAATTCCCTTCCCACCACGTCTGTCTGCACAAAATGACCATGGCCGAACTGTTTAGACCTTGGGGGATCTCGTAGCCAGGGTGACACGTGAATCCCACCACTGTCATGTGACCGAGCTCTGTACTGTTTGCCGTAGCGTGCTGCACTGTGGGAGTGGGGGGACATTTAGAGTCTGAAATGAAGTGTAATTGTTGTGGTAGTTGTGACAGCAGTGACACATTCCAACACAATATGCTTATCCTATCTATGATTGTATCCATTGTACGTAACGAGTTTTTATGTAGTTGCATGGTTTTCCAAAGCATTCTTTAATATAAGTGACAAAATACATAAATTTAGACTTTAACCTACAAGATCAATAAGATGAATTAATCGAAAAGAAGCTTTCCACAATAAACTGAAAAATTACTAGTCAGTCACATATGGTATATTTATATATACACACGACTGCAATTACTAACTAACTAACTAACTAACTAAATAAATAAATAAATAAATAAGCAAAATAAAAAAAATACATAAATTATTCAGGTTTATAATAAATAAAAAATTGTCGAAGGAAGATTTCCCATCAGTAAAAAGAAAAAAAAACTTACCCCACAGTTGGAACACTGTATTTCTACCACGCCCCCCACAGGAGTATTCTGGGGTGTCTGCACACGTGATGGAACACTCATGTGACCGAGCCTGGCCGTATTTCCCGATGACGTCACCACAGGAACAGTTTACTCCTATCAAAACCACGTGGAAATCTCATTGTATGACAAAACTTTGAGTTTCATTTATACGTTAATATTTATATACGTTTCACATAACTAATCGGTTATTGAAAATCCACTGTTACATCACAGCCAAGGGCAAGGGGATCAGCGTATATACAATTGCGAAAATTCAAAGAAACACGCTAAGCTCGTAACGCGGTAAATATAAAAAAAGNAAAAAAAAAAAAAAAAAAAAAAAAAAAAAAAAAAACTTACCCCACAGTTGGAACACTGTATTTCTACCACGCCCCCCACAGGAGTATTCTGGGGTGTCTGCACACGTGATTGAACACTCATGTGACCGAGCCTGGCCGTATTTCCCGATGATGTCACCACAGGAACAGTTTACTCCTATCAAAACCACGTGGAAATCTCATGGTATGTCAAAACTTTGAGTTTCATTTATACGTTAATATTAATATACATTTCACATAACCAATCGGTTATTGAAAATGCACTGTTACATCACAGCCACGGGCAAGGGGATCAGCGTATATACAATTGCGAACATTCAAAGAAACACGCTAAGCTCGCAACGCGGTAAATACAAAAAAAGAGGAGAAAATGTTCACAGTTTCCAACAATCAATTTTGTGCTATCCTATTCAGTTAGTTACCTAACCGGCGTCTGCAGCACAGAATACCAAAAGGTATAAGCATATCATCACACCGGTTTATAAACGCATAAAACGGAATAAAACAATATGCATCGACAACCATATCACAACCGTATCACAGTATTACACACCTTCCGATATCCCAGCATATCTATACTTGGCCAGGTCACACAATCCCATACATTCTGTGACGTTACTGGTGCTCCCAGCGTAATACGGCAAGTCTAGAGCCGCAGGATCACCGGACTCCACGAAACAGCCGATATAACCTCTCCTTTCTGGTAAATATAAAGAACATAGGTGCATCTCTTATGTGATATTTTATTTGCCAAGAAAGGTTCAAAGCATTGTGCACCGAGATATAAATATTATCAGGTGAATTTTGAAAATAAAAGTGTGTGTGCGTGTGTGTGTGTGAGAGAGAGAGAGAGAGAGAGAGAGAGAGAGAGAGATTATTCTCAAAATCAACAGCAACTAATTGCACGGAGAAACAAGATCCACAATGTGGAAGCAACTTACGTGAAAACGAAGCGGCGGCTACTCCTTGAATTTCTAAACGGAAAGGAGCAGGTCTGTCCAGTTCAATTTGAACGACCTTGGCGACCTTGGGAGACTTCAGGAGAGAAGTCTTCGGAACATAAGTCTCCGTCGTTCCCGGAAACTGAATTATATTGTAATATAATTTATACAAATTAATTAGCACATAGACTGAACATAACTCAAGGTGACAATTTTATACAGAAGGGAAATATTACATTTGGACAATGACCACTTGTACATAATGGTTAATCCTTGCGTGTTTACTGGCTTCAGGCGTTAACAACGTAGGGTATCTCCAAATCGTTCTCATATTTTGTTAAGTTACACACATATAGCCCAGAATTAAGCCCTGGTATTGCCATACCAAACAGCGTCAAGCCACAGTTAGCGCCTTTGAGTAAAAAAAAAAAAAAAATTTTAGTTTCTTTGGATAAAATACAACTTGGACCAAGTCACTTTCTTCATAAAAAAAAAAAAAAATAATAAAAAAAAAAATAAAAAAAAAAAAAAATAATAATAATAATGAAGACACTCTAATCTCAGCGATTTTTAAAAAATCAGTTTTTAAAAAAATCAACTTGGGACAAGTCACTTTCATCAAATGGGGTTTACCACGATCTCAGCAATTATTTGCAATAAAGTATCGGTTTGGAATAATAGTACAGGGTGGCAAAATGCTCAGAATCTAATAATAGTTGCGAATAAACATACAGGCGGACATTTCTTTGAAATTTCATAACAGTACGGGGTTTCAATTGTCACAGAGATATGTTATTAATCCTTTTTTTTTCTACATAAGTCATAACTGACTTGTTACAGACTTACCGATTTAGCAGCTGCAGAGTCCTGCGTGGCATCGTAGTAAAGAAGATCATTTACACTGTCGCCATACCGCAGTTTATAGTCCGGTCCAGCAGCCCCAGGCACTACAAAAAGGAAGAGACATACATGTTCAATCCATGGGGGTGAACTTTTGATATGACGTCCTACAGGACACAACCTATTAGGATTTCCATAAGGGTAATATTCTGTGCACATTTTCTGTACAGCAGGAAGTGACGTCATGTCTTAGCTGACTTCTGGTTCAGAGTACCTGAGACATGACCCTTTGACCCATCATAAGCCTTTTTTTTTTTAAATGATGTTTTAATTTTATTTAACTTACATATTTAATTTTTATATTTTACCTGTGTAATGGAACTTGTAGAAGACCCCTGTGCTCCCTGACCAGGTCATGACCGTCAATGTCGCCACGTTGTAGGGGGCAGAGTCGCTGTACTCCAGTAAAAGTCCCGTCCCTACTTCCAGACCTTCGCCAATTCTCACCATGCCGTTCTCCCAGCTTATCCATAGTGGTACATAGGAGGCGCAATTCGCAAAATTTGTGGCGTTTTCAGCAACGATCGCGCCCCCAACCGAACGCCGAATCACCGATCTGGTGTTACTCCAGCCACCCAAAACTATTTGGTAGCCGGTTGTTCCACCTTGCGCATCTTGAACGTTTTCCGCTAAGTATATATTCAAATCGTTGCACCCTTTTGCTTCGAAAGTTATAGAAGTCATCCCAGTCAAGTTCACTTCTGGCACGTAATTGTGGACGGCGTTTGCTTCCGGTGCATACGCATATACTATGTCCTTAGGTTCTGAAAGTTGTAATACAGCCCACGTTATTGAATTTACGTTAAGAGATTAAAAAATAAAATGCCCAAAAATACATTCCCTTGATCTCTGCAGCAAGGTTTTAGTCGGATTTATAAATGTTACATTGCTTCAGT